AATGCTTTGTCTCGCTCGCACTCACTTGGTAGATGCGCCTGCGCATAATGACGCTCGACCATCTATGCCCATATTTGGACTTCGTGCGTCTCCCTTTCTCGGGCCTCGTGCCTCTCATTGCGAAGATACGCGACTAGCCAGGGTTGATTCTACCAGACCTGTTCCTTGCGTTTGCGCTTGCGATCAATGTAGAACAGGCTAAAGATAAGATTTAAGATTTGAGGACGACTATGAATGCGGACTCTCTCCTCTAGTATCACGAATCACGAGATGAGTTTGCCGCCAGTTACTTCGTTCCGAATATTCTCCGATCAGTTCCGATTTCTTATACCACAACCTTCAGGCTCTGTTTTCATAACACATACTCGTTTTTCTATTTATTGTAGAACGGGTTTTAGCAATCGAACAGTTTGTCAAGCATGACGCAAGATGGCGCCACTAATTCCGTTCTGAGGCCATTTTGTCTCTGGTTTTCTGTGTGCAAATGGAAAGGAAAAGGAAGGTAAGTCGTTACTCCACAATCAAAAGAAATAAAAAAAAAGAGGAAACGAGAAGCGAAATAGCAGATGATGTGCGATAAGAAATGTCATCTCGCACAACCCTATAACTCGGAACAACACTCTGCCGGAAGTACATAATATATAAATAAAAGCAAATGTTTTCTAAATTGAGGATTTACTGGTAGGTAGTCAAATATTTGTATATTGCACTACGTCGATTACAACTATTACAATTTGAATTAAACATGAGGGAGAGAAGAGGAATATAATTCTGGCGGATAAAACCAATAAAATAACAGACATAATGAAATGCAATAATATTTAAAACAAACCAAAAAGTTAGAAAACTTAAAAAAATATAAATAAAAAATTCTTTTTGTGAGTGGGTTATTCGAAAAGTACGTAGCGATTTTATTTTTTTCACTGAAATTTAAAGATTTAAAATTAATCTTTAGGCAATGGAATGTGTAAAAACGGAGAATTCAAGTTTTTAATAGGGCAAATTCGGTATAGTCTCCTTCGCCGGAAATTGTAAATCGATTGACGCATGAGCGTTTTAGACGACGTCGCGACGCCGTCATCACTGTCTTGCTTATACAATCCTCGTCATAATTCACGAGTTGCACTCTACTTATATTAGTTTTTTTTTCTTTTTGAGCGAGATTGAAAGAAAGCGCGCGTGGCATACAAAAGGAAGAGAAGCATAACAAAGGAAAAATAGCAAAGGGATGAAACTCGAAATGAGAATGAGAGAGTAAAACTAGCAAAACAACGAAGCAAAAAAGAAAAACAGTAATAATAACAAAGCGAAAGAAAGCAAAATATACAAGCGGAAAGAAAAGACACGGGTACAATAGCAATAAGTCAATAAGTAACTTTTGCAAAAGAGTTTGCTGAAAAAATATATCAATTACGAATAAGTTTCTAATATTTACAAATTTTATACACGGTTTAAAAAAAAAGCAGTTTCGTAAGTCAAGAACATTTTGATAAACGATCTCCCGAGAAATTTATTTCATAACGTGAACGTGTTATTAAATGATCTCGCGCATTTCAAGCGAGCGTTGAACCGTATCGCGACGAAAAAAATCTTATCGGCGACTATATTGTGGAACGAGCATCATATATGTGTGTGTGTGTGTGTGTATGTGTGCATTTTCTTCAGACGTCTGCTATCGGTAGACGACACACCACACCACCGCGAGATGCAACGGGGCTGTTTTTTCACACGCGTCACCCCGTACATTACGCATGCGCGCTACCGGCCGTAACGATCTCGCACGCGGAAAAGAGAGGGAAAGCCTCGAAAGGGACGAGCGGGCACAAGGGGCAACAGATGTCCTTCCGCATGACGCACGCGGGGTGGCTGTCCCCCGGTAGTCTCGCGGTGGTAGTGTCTGTGCGAGTGTCACGTTGTGGAAAGGTTGCGACGAGCGTCCTCGCTCGGGGGATCGAGTGTGTTTAGCTTTGTTAAGCACAGGATCTCTCGATAAACGCTCGTACGGATAGGTATAGTTGACACATCGAAGGACATTTCGCTTCTTTGTTTTACTATTCATAGCGATAACGATCCTAACTTACACAAAAGAGAGACACCGCGCCGTTCTCTCATTTAATAAATATTTCTAATATACGTGTGTATATGTATGTGTACATGATATAGACTTTATTTTCGATATGACGCGGATAATGACGTATTATACCAAACAAGGTCTACTATTTTTACCATCCACGGTTTGATCTTGTTGGAGAAAAATCATTTTGTTGTAAAAAGCGAAGGATAAACGCAGAAAACTGTTTATTACACGATACCGAACTAGATTTAATTTATATATTTGCAAAAAGCGGAAGTTTACAAATATTCAATTTAATATAGAAGAGAATTGAAATTTTCACTCATGTAAACATATCTACAGATATATTTCCAAAACAAACAAATGTCTAAAAGATTGCGATTTACCTGTTGAACCCGCTTAAAACTACAATAAACTTCTTACCTTCTCCACTTTATTATTCAACAGTATTTTCGAAAACTAATGCGTGTTTCAGGATTCGGTTCAAGAAATGCTCACACGTGATGGACACGCGCTGTAAAGTCTCGTCGTCTCTAGGAAGAGTATCTTCTGATTAACAGCGCGCGCGATGTGCGAGGTGTCGTCGAAGGGACAGCGAAGAACGTTTCGCGATCAGGATCCGCCGCGAATATGCAACAAGAGCGCGGAGAATCTGCTGCGGGACGAGCTCGAGTTCTCGCGCTCGACCCCGAGCTCGCCGACGGCTCTTCAACGCGCCGCCAGTCTCGAGAAATGTTTCAGCGAGCCGGAATTTTTCCAGAAGCAGCGCGAACTGCTCTCGAAGCACGAACAGCGGGCGAAAGAGAAGGAGAACGGCGGCGGCAGCGGCGACGGCGATAAAGAAAGCATCTCGCCCGTACGTGATACGAACGAAGACGATTCCGGAAGTGCGGCCGACGTTACCAAGAGCAGCGACGATTTCCTGAAGGAACTCTCCGCCAAAGTGCCTTTCCCCTCCAAACAGGCGAACGAGGTACGTGAAAATAATATAAGGTGACTTTCGGTCTTTAAACAATTAATATTTTTTGAAGAGTTAATCGAAATAAATATAATACATTTGCATTTAAAAATGAACGTTAAAAATGATAATTAAATTGCACTGTATATTCAAATACTTGTCCCTTTAAAATATTGAAGATACATTTTCATTGAAAATATCGGGTCACTAGATTAGAAAATAACAGGATATCGATTAGCCCACGTGTTTTTCTCTTCGTGTTTTCTTGATTTGCTTGATGACCTGTCGAAGATTAGAAATAAGAATGTCGTAAATATAATCGAAGATAAGCTAAATATATCGCGTGTTTTTCTTTCAAACGACATCTCGTGTGTAACGACGGTTAAAATATTTTAAGATATTTTTACAACAAACTGGATGCTGTTTAAATATTCTTCGCCATGTCGAGGAGATAACGTATCGCGTAAGTTTCTTATTTTAAACGCGCTACTACGTATTTCAATGGAAACGCATAAAAACTTGCGACAGACGTATGTGAATACTCGATATGTTTCCGTTTATATGGTTTGCACTTCAAAAAAAAAAAAAAAAAAAAAGCGACAATTAACAAGAGCCGCGCGATATATCACGGCAAACGTGACTGCCATTTTGCGGCAACAAAAATGCAGATAAAGTTCGCGCCGAGCATGAGTCACGAAAACGATACTTTTCCGCGGAGTTGAAAAACGTTTGTTGCGCGCGTTACCACTTGCGATATTAACGCTCAATGAACTCGAAAGGAATTATTATGTTTTCTTTCCGAGTTTTCTACAATTTTCCATTACATTTTGTCTCTCTCTCTTTTTGTTTTTTTTAGAGCCAGATAATGGCAAACTTTTTCCTTATAAATATTAAAAAAAGAAAGCATTGTCGTCTCCGTTTCGAATTTAAATCATTTTCAAGCGTTGGTTTAGAACATCGTTTGGAAATTATTGCTCTCGATCGATTAATTGTTTGCATCTTGATTCAGAGAGCTATCTTATTTTTTCTTCTCATTAAACAAAAAAAAAAAAAAAGAAAAAAAAAAGAAACGTCTGGCGAATCGCAGTTTTCTACATGTTTTGCAGCGTGTTGTTCCTAGAGACGAGAACAAAGCGGAAAGAGAAAACAATAGTTTATTCGCGGAAAACATTTCGTTCGAATTCGCGCATCACGAAGAGTAGTTACATCGTCAATAACGACGTCGCCGCCGTCAACGTCTGGTCGTGAAACGGTATTTCTCTGAAGAGATGTACACTCTCTATCGACCCGCGCGAGAATCTCGCCGAAATACATACCAAAAAGAAGCAGACACCTCGTTTCTTCTCGCCGAGGAAAGAATAAGTTTTTGAAATTCTATTTTACAATACGCGAGAATGCTCTTCTTTCTTTTTTCTTTCTCATGTTTTTTTTTCACACGACATACGCGCTCTACTAAGTTTACACTATATTGTGTATTTAACAAAATAACAAATGTTCCAACGATCGAATTTTTCTTTAACGTTTGTTAAAGAAAAATTAATTATCAGATATGTAAATATTAATCATAATAATTCTCAATATCTTTGAGACATTTTTAAATTTATTAGTTTCCACCTTTGTGTAGAAAAATACTTTGTTATGATTATTTCTTTAATAAATTATATCCGGCCGTTTACTTTTATTTCCGTTTAAGATATCGTTTAATGTTTCAAAACTTGAATATTTCAAAAAATTATTGATATATATCTATGGGAATTAATTTTAATTAATAGACTCGATCTTATAAGAGAAACTTCCAATTATGCGACGTATAAAGAGTAACGTTTTACATTCATTCGTTTTCTCACGCATGCCGATTCTTACGTCATATCCTTTATTAGACTTAATATGTAGGCTTCTCTTTCACGATACGGTACGCTGGACAAGTCGCGTAAAATTCGATTTCTTTATTTATGCCAGCGGAATTTCACGTGCGGGCGATAAAGTTGCGCAGAAACTAAGCTCTTATGCTACTTGATACGCGTATAAAACCCGCCGCTATGTTAGATATCCTTGGAGAGAGACTTGGGGAAATATCCCTTTCGTGTGTTTTTTACAGCTCTCCTTCACTTTCTTAAACTCTCATCATTTTTCCAACGGGTCTTGGTTTATGTAAAAACACACGCGACGTGTCGATTCGATCTCAGTTTTAACCAACCGTCCTTCGCGCGAATATATACAGGATCGCGTTTATTAGGAACTAAGTGACAAGCGCACGTCATATAGCGCGATGCAAAGTGTCTTCACGACTCGGCCAATTTTGAAAGTAGGTCAGATTTAATCTTTTAACAAGCTCGAAGTAACTCAACTTCGAACAGCACATCTCATTGTTGCGGCGAAGAAGTGTGTACTTCAAAAACAAAACAAAAAAAAAATGTTACAAAAACATTTGATATATATACGGTGAATCTGATATTTGATTCTCACTTTGTGAGAAAACACGAACGATCGTGTCGAAGTGGGAAACGCGGGACGGTCTTGTGGATGACAGATGTGTCGTTTTCGAAGTTCTCGAAACTGTCGCGTTTTAGTGACAGGCGGGCCAAGATTGCGGGACGGGACTTGCGAGGGGCTCTCAGATGAATTAGGTTCGGGCCTGCAAGGAGGAGGGAAGAAAGATGCACAGACCTCGCGGCAGGTTCCTTTCCACCGGAGGACTCGTCTGCCTTTGTGCGCGAAATTTGCGGATTAAGCGACGTTCACAGAGTCTGCACTGAACGTCACGATATTCCTCCGCATTTCAATCTTACTGTAATATTCCCTAAAATATTTTTTAACTTCTCCGTGTATCTCTTTGGTATATGTTTTGTTTTCGTTTGGCAATCTCAATTGTTCATTTTTGATCATTTCTGACATTTTGTGTCACGTTTAAAAAATCGTTTTCTTTTCGAGATAATGAATACAAGCGTATAAATGTTTCTTGCCGCTCGTAACTCAGAAAGATTGCGTTTGCGTTGCGTTACCGAACTGGCGTGGCGATAACGAAAATAAATTACAGCAATTACGCGATACTTGTAGTTGTATTCTCTCGCAACACAAACAACTCGCTCCCCTCCCCCATATCGCTTGTGACATAAGTTTCAGTTTGGTGAAAACCGGTTACATTCGCAATCGGAAAACGATATCAACCGTCGCATCTCTCTCGTCGCAAATAAGTACAATTGTAAAAAAGGTCTCCCGCGAAAATAACCTGCCGCAACGATCCATTGCGAACATTACGATGGTCTTCCGCGATGTCGTAAGGAGATATAGACCTTCGAGCGCGACGCGGCACGTTCGCGACGACGCGCGCGCAACGGCGAATCGAGATTTAGCTGGAAATTTGCTCGAAATACACCGGTTACATCGGTGCGCGAGGTCGTCGACCGGCGTTACGAGATATTGACGAGAAGGGCCGCCTATTTCGGGGGACGACGATTAATTGCCGACGTGAGGAGGAGAGCGAGCTCGGAAACGCGCGACCGATAAATATTCGATCGATCTTTCACCGAAGTTATCGCCGTTGCCGAGATTGCTAATAACATGGCTAATAACACGCCGATAACTCGCTCAAGTATATACCGTCTGATGCGTCCGCTAAGTTCAATCTCGAGTCTTCGATAGAAGATTAATCGTTCTATCGATATTCCTGCGATTTCTCTGACAGCTATACAAAAAACTATAAATAAAAATTCAATATTTGACGTGTCACGATTCATCAAAATTAAAATTAGTCCGCCAAAAAATGTCTATAGACATATGTAATATAAACTCTTTTTGTTTATAAAATTGTGTATAGAGTTAAATTTAAAAAATTAAATAGGGAGGCGCGCGCAAATTGTTGAGATTCTGGAGAAACCGACCAACCAGACGCGCCGTATCCCCACGTTGTATCTTCTGCGCGGTTTCGGTGTGAAAGCAGCCTATTAAGGTCGCGGAGACGCGGCGTGGTCTCCAACACGATCGGCGCAGCGCGCGTCCGTCCCGCCGTCAGTTCGGTGCTCATGCTCAATCTCGGAGCAGTTTTCGCCGCGATCTTTCGCTTCGCAGTTTCTAGTATCTCGATCAACAGCACGCAGTAGTAGTATTACCTTCACGGTGCGCACCAGTGTGACTCCACCGCACGCAGAGGAACGCATAGTGAGGTGTGTTTCGCCGTCTTTGAACGCCGATCTCCGGTACACACACGTATCTCGCAAGAGAACCGAGATTCCGGTTCGTCCTTTTCGATCCTTTCGCGTTCGCCGGCTACGACCGGTCGTTTCTAACAAAGCGGTTCGCTGTTGAAAATATTCGGGCGTTCGTGGCGAAGAACGTAACGATCGATAACGAATATAAATAACGGGAAAAGATTTTTACTCTTCGAGATATTTGCAATATTGTTTTGAGAGAAACAATATCGTCTAATAGCAAAAAAAAAAAAAAATCTATTCTTCAAAACAATACGCGAATAACAGTCCGATAATTTGTAACGATTATTCGCTCTGTGTTAGACATTTTAAACTCGAACATCTGCTGCCGTATATTGCACGCACGCGTGACGCAGAATCGTGACGCGAATGACGAGATGCCATATCTAGGTATGTGAGGCAGAGATGAAAAAATAGGAATATGATTATTTGATAAACAGAGAGACAACTGTTATATTTGATTTTATTTCAATTGTATATTTAATTTTATGATGTATGTTTATAATTTTATACTTTATATTTATCTTCATAATTCTTAGCGGAAATAACGTAACAGCGTACGGCAATTGCTGTCCGACCTACTAGCTTTGTTTTTCATTTTTAATATGTTTACATTGTTTATTAGTTCGAATCGCGAAAATTCAACCAATATTGATCCTCAAAAACAAAGTAATCAACATAGTATTTTGTATTATTCATAATGTTTTTGGTTTGTAAATTATAATATTTGCGCTTAGAATGTCCACTGAAGATGACTCAAATCAATAAAATCGAAACGTCTGGATATTAATCAAATTGAATAATTTT